TGTCCTATTGCCTATTTGTTTCAAGATTTTTGTGTTTTTTTTTGTCCGTTGCGCATGGGACTTCGCGGCTGAGACCCCGAGCTTCAGAGGAGGAACTCGATGACGCTGATGACTTTGGCCGAACTGGATAAATTACGATTCAGAAACTTTCCCCGATTCAGAAACTCCAAGCATTCAAGAAACTCCTGGTTGCCACGATTCAGAAACTCCTCTGTGTCCCGATTCAGAAACTTCAGGTTGCCCCGATTCAGAAACTCCTCTGTGTCCCGATTCAGAAACTCCACGCTTGTCACGATTGCAAGTCATTTTCTAAACTTCCCCCCCGAAGCCCTACATGCAATAGTAGTCCTCAATGCAAATCCTTCCCTTTCATAGAGTACTTGTCACGATTGCAAGTCATTTTCTAAACTTCCCCCCCAAAGCCCTACATGCAATAGTAGTCCTCAATGCACATCCTTCCCTTTCATAGAGTTCTTGTCACGATTGCAAGTCATTTTCTAAAACTCCCCCCCAAAACCCAACATGCAATAGTAGTCCTCAATGCATATCCTTCCCTTTCATAGATTTTTTTTTCACGATTGCAAGTCATTTTCTAAACTTCCCCCCCATAAGCCCTACATGCAATGGTATTCCTCAATGCAATTCTTGTCACGATTGCAAGTCATTTTCTAAAATTACCACCCAAAGCCCTACTACATGCAATGGTATTCCTCCATTGGCAGCCTCCTCTTTCATAGAGTTCTTGTCACGATTGCAAGTCATTTTCTAAACTTCCCCGCCCGAAGCCCTACATGCAATGGTACTCCTGCATTGGCAGCCTCCTCTTTCATAGAGTTCTTGTCACGATTGCAAGTCATTTTCTAAACTTCCCCCCCCAAAGCCTTACATGCAATGGTATTCCTCCATTGGCAGCCTCGTCTTTCATAGAGTTCTTGTCACGATTGCAAGTCATTTTCTAAACTTCCCCCCCCAAAGCCCTACATGCAATGGTATTCCTCAATGCACATCCTTCCCTTTCATAGAGTTCTTGTCACGATTGCAAGTCATTTTCTAAACTTCCCCCCCCAAAGCCCTACATGCAATGGTACTCCTCCATTGGCAGCCTCCTCTTTCATAGAGTTCTTGTCACGATTGCAAGTCATTTTCTAAACTTCCCCGCCCAAAGAATATAGATGCAATGGTATTCCTGAATGCACATCCTTCGCTTGAAAGGGTCCTTGTCATGATTGAAAGTCATTTTCTAAACATCCCCCCAAGCCCTACATGCAATAGTAGTCCTCAATGCAAATCCTTCCCTTTCATAGAGTTCTTGTCACGATTGCAAGTCATTTTCGAAACTTCCCCCCTCAAAGCCCTACATGCAATAGTAGTCCTCAATGCAAAGTGGGCCGGTTGCGAAGTTTCCGAATCCGAGGGCCTGGGAGTTTCCGAATCAATGTGTCCGTGCAGTTTCCAAATCCGGGCGGCTAAGACGAAGTTTCCGAATCCACGGGCCTGGAAGTTGCCGAATCCGACGTTGAAGCTTCCGAATCCAGGGGGGGCGGCAAGTTTCCGAATCCGAAGGCCTGCGAGTTTCCGAATCCGTGAGCTTCGAAGTTTCCGAATCCGGAGGGCAGCAAGTTTCCAAATCCGAAGGCCTGGAAGTTTCCGAATCCGAGGGCCTGGAAGTTTCCAAATCCGAGGTTGCAGTTTCCGAATCCGGGGGGCAGCGAGTTTCCGAATCCGTGGGCTTCGGAGTTTCCGAATCCGGGGGGCAGCGAGTTTCCGAATCCTGGAAGTTTCCGAATCCGCCGCTGAAGTTTCCGCTCTGCGTTCCCGATTCAGAAACTCTACAGTGTCCCGATTCAGAAACCCAGGTCTGCCCCGATTCAGAAAACTCCAGGTTGCCACCGTTTCAGAAACTTCAGTGTGTCCGATTCAGAAAATCCAGGTGTCCCGATTCAGGAAATCCACCTTCTCTTACCGATTCAGAAACCCCGGGGTTGACCGATTCAGGAAAATCAATGTATATCCCGATCAGAAAACTCCTCTGTGTCCGTTCAGAAACTTCAGTGTGTTACGAATTCAGAAAACTCCAGCGTGTCCCGATTTCCGGAACTCCCTAGCGTCTTGTCGCGATTGCAAGTCATTTTCTAAAAACTCCCCCCCAAAACCCTACATGCAATAGTAGTCCTCAATGCAAATCCTTCCCTTTCAAAAAGTTCTTGTCACGATTGCAAGTCATTTTCTAAACTTGCCCCCCCAAAGCCCTACATGCAATGGTATTCCTCAATGCACATCCTTCGCTTGAAAGGAGTTCTTGTCACGATTGCAAGTCATTTTCTAAACTTCTCCCCCCAAAGCCCACTACATGCAATAGTAGTCATGAATGCAAATCCTTCCCTTTCATAGAGTTCTTGTCACGATTGCAAGTCATTTTCTAAACTTCCCCCCAAAGGCCCTACATACATGCAATCGTAGTCCTCAATGCAAATCCCTCCCCTTCAAAGAGTTCTTGTCACGATTGCAAATCATTTTCTAAACTTCCCCCCCAAAACCCTACATGCAATAGTAGTCCTCAATGCAAATCCTTCCCTTTCAAAGAGTTCTTGGCACGATTGCAAGTCATTTTCTAAACTCCCCCCCCAAAACCCTACCTGCAATGGTATTCCTCAATGCACATCCTTCGCTTGTAAGGAGCTCTTGTCACGATTGCAAGTCATTTTCTAAACTTCCCCCCCCAAAGCCCTACATGCAATGGTATTCCTGAATGCACCTCGTCTTTCATAGAGTTCTTTCACGATTGCAAGTCATTTTCTAAACTCCCCCCCAAAGCCCTACATGCAATGGTATTCCTCCATTGGCAGCCTCCTCTTTCATAGAGTTCTTGTCACGATTGCAAGTCATTTTCCAAACTTCCCCACCAAAGCCCTACATGCAATGGTACTCCTGAATGACACCTTCCCTTTCATAGAGTTCTTGTCACGATTGCAAGTCATTTTCTAAACTTCCCCCCCAAAGCCCTACATGCAATGGTATTCCTCCATTGGCAGCCTCGTCTTTCATAGAGTTCTTGTCACGATTGCAAGTCATTTTCTAAACCCCCCCTGCAAAGCCCTACATGCAATGGTATTCCTCCATTGGCAGCCTCCTCTTTCATAGAGTTCTTGTCACGATTGCAAGTCATTTTCTAAACTTCCCCGCCCGAAGCCCTACATGCAATGGTACTCCTGCATTGGCAGCCTCCTCTTTCATAGAGTTCTTGTCACGATTGCAAGTCATTTTCTAAACTTCCCCGCCCAAAGAATACATGCAATAGTATTCCTGAATGCACATCCTTCGCTTGAAAGGGTCCTTGTCATGATTGAAAGTCATTTTCTAAACATCCCCCCAAGCCCTACATGCAACAGTAGTCCTCAATGCAAATCCTTCCCTTTCATAGAGTTCTTGTCACGATTGCAAGTCATTTTCTAAACTTCCCCCCCCAAAGCCCTACATGCAATAGTAGTCCTCAATGCAAAGTGGGCCGGTTACGAAGTTTCCGAATCCGAGGGCCTGGGAGTTTCCGAATCAGTGTGTCCGTGCAGTTTCCAAATCCAGGCGGCTAAGACGAAGTTTCCGAATCCACGGGCCTGGAAGTTTCCGAATCCGACGTTGAAGTTTCCGAATCCGTGAGCTTCGAAGCTTCCGAATCCGACGTTGCAGTTTCCGAATCCGGGGGGCAGCGAGTTTCCGAATTCGTGGGCTTCGGAGTTTCAGAATCCGGGGGGCAGCGGGTTTCACGAATCCGAGCGCCTGGAAGTTTCCGAATCCGCCGCTGAAGTTTCCGAATCCGGCGGGCGGCGGGTTTCCGAATCCGAGGGCCTGGGAGTTTCCGAATCCGGGGGTCAGCGAGTTTCCGAATCCAAGGGCCTGGAAGTTTCCAAATCCGATGCTGAAGTTTCCGGGCCAACGTCGGATTCGGAAACTTCAGCGTCGGATTCGGAAACTCCCAGGCCCTCGGATTCGGAAACTCGCCGCCCGCCGGATTTGGAAACTTCAGCATCGGATTCGGAAACTTCCAGCCGAATCCGGCTGGCGGCGAGTTTCCGAATCCGAGGGCCTGGGAGTTTCCGAATCCGACGCTGAAGTTTCCGAATCCGACGTTGGCCCGTAGAACTTCTAGACGCAAGTGTGGTGGCACCGCACCCCAAAATTTGGGACTATACAGTCATGACACTACACTATACTTCAGCCAGCCACAAGGAAATTCAAAGAATTCCGGCCCAAAAAGGACGTGGCCTACCACTCCTTCGCTGGAGAGGAGCTTACAGAAGACTCTTGCAAGATCACGTCGTTGCCTGTAGGGGTGGACGATGATCCATAATTTGAATGTTCAAATGCCATAGAGAGAAAACACAAGAAACAGATAAGGTGGGTGTGTGAATCATGGGTGAATCTGTGGGTACCCCGGCCATTTCTTGAAACGATGAAGTTGAGGACCACAGCCAGGTTTCTTGCCACGTTTTCTTTTTGCAGAGGCTCCGTAGCCCAGGATTTGGTCCCCTTGCTCTTCACTGGCATGGGCAGTGTTGCAGTGGTTTTGAGCAACCCTGGAAAGGTGCGGCCAAACTGAAGGCAGCCAAGGATTCCAAGGGCTACGGCGACATGCCGAAGCCAAGCCTTGAAGGGAGACTTGGCCAAGCTTCGGTTGCTGGAGTTGGGCTGAAAAGCTGCACAGGCGGCTTCTCCGACAGGTCAGACGGTTCAAGAATACCCTGAAACCCCTCTTACTGCATAGGAAAGTGGAAATGCAGGACATTCGACATGCAGTGATTCCCGACAAGATAGAGCAGTAAATCACCGTTGAAATTAGCATGGCATAACTGGCCATAACATACTGTGCAAGACTGCAGAGTTCAAGTTGCCGCACTACTCCCTGCAGCACTGCGCTGAGGACAGGAAGCAAGCTGCAGCGAGGAGCAGACATCCTGCAGGGCTGTGATGCCTTACTGGTGCTGGTGACAGATATGTGAAGTGCTATGAAGTGCTTCAAACATGTCCTTGTAGATGTGAAATTGGGGTATAGCCATATGTTGGGCACCTGGCATGCCCTGCACCTTTGGGCATTCAAGACACACCAACCAACTTGTCCAGTGGACAAATGCCCGATTCCATGCAGCAATTTCTTGATCAGAACACTTTCCCTCTCAATACCGTGCTTTGTGTCGCTTGTCGTCATGAACGCTTTCATGAAGCTGATGTTCTTTACTGCATGTTTGCTGTTTGCCAAAGGTGTTTCGAGCGAGGACAGCTGTGATGCTGCTGCGTCCAGCCGTGTGCTATTGCAGAAGACGGTGGCCAAGAGCGAACTTGCGACTGCAGCGGACACTGAATGGTTGTTTCAGTTGTTTCATCTACCCTCCGGTGATTCAATCTGGCGATGTTGCAGTTGTTGATCAGTTGGAAGTCGTGATTTCCATGATTACCGGAGGGTATCCTCTTGTCGACATTGTCAACTTAAAACCACCATTTTGGATCATTTTGGGATGATCATTGGCGATTCTTGAGCTATGGGATGATGGATGATGGGAACACGACTCGGTTGATTCGCCTAGGCGTTCAACTGGAAGTTGGCTGGTCCAGGTGAATCATGCGACGTTGGCTGCGCAAGCTATGGGACCGCCCGGGGAAGCCTCCGCGGGTGGAAAAGCCATGGTCTTCCGTTTGGAATTTTCCCTGAAACCCAGTTTGATCCAGTTTGTATGTGTCAAACTGTTTCTACTGCATCTGAATGGGTGAAGAACCGCCAACAACCAATGAGATCAAGCCTGCAAAAGGCTGAACATTTTTAAAACCATAATGGCAGAGATGACAATGCCGATAAAACAGTATCCGTATTTTTTTGTAAATGAATTTTCAGGGATGGGTTATTCAATATTCGTCAAGAAGCCCTCGGATGTTCAGAGATGTTTCTTCGATTGACCACCTTAATGTTTCGTGAAGATGCTTTGCCCCCGTGCCTGGAATATAGACTGTGCCTACACGGCCTACACGTTGATGTCTCAGCATTTTGAAGCACGGTGTCCATGGATAGGGACAATGATTGAACAACTGGATTTTGCAGTTTTAAAATTTGAGATATGCCCCTCAGGGCCAGGTTTGTCCATGTTCGCAGTGGCATGGTTTAAATCACCTGAATCATCAAGACGTATCATGGCCTATCCCAAGTTCACCACGTTGAGGCCCTCGAGCTCAGCTCCGCAGGATGTTCTGTCATGGCTCGCAGATCTTTTCCGTGGACAGCGCTCAGCAGGTGATTGCTGCTGCCCAGGAAGCGGGACTGACATGCAACGGCACAGCAGGTAGGGACGCTGGCAGATGGGGTCGGCGGTTTCGGCAGGCTGCAGGCTTCAAAGTTTGAATAGACCATCAGGTTCCAAAAAAAGCCAGAGAGAGACGACAAAATGTGGTGGGTGGAAGGGAAACTCCCAGCTAAGAATCCTGACTTGCTTGGTTAAAAGCCCTTGATCAATTGTTGTTTATGATTTCATAAGTGATGTTAGACAAAGGGATGAGGTTGACAGGGGCCTGGAACTCTGGCAAAGGGTTTGAAGAACCACCTAATATAGTAATATAGTTATTCCGACGATTGAGGTTCTGAAAGCATTCCCCAACATCCCTCCCAACAGCTCACGAGAGGATAGTTTCAATTGGGTCATGCAGAGTTTGGACCAGATCCGTTTGGCATCTGGGTATTGCACACTCTCATGCGGGTCAGCATTTTTTCGCTCCAGTAATCCATGTTGACAACCTCAGGCTGGGGCTATGAGAACATGCCTGCTATTTGCAGCGATGCGTCCTGTTGTGGTGGCAACTGTGTTGGTATTTGCGCCTATGGCATCCAATTGACGAACAGCTGTGGTGGAAACGCGGGCGGAAGCTATTCCCGGCTCTGCCCATGTGGCAACGAAGCAGAAGTCACCACGACGCTCAGCTGCAATCAGCAGCTGACCGGAGCATCATCAATCTCGATGGGTATGGGATCAGTCAAATTTTGATGGGAAGGTTTCACTATTGAAAATCCAGCAAACACCGTAGTTATACTTTTTGAGGTTTAGGATGCCCATATCCAAAGAGACTCCGTGGACAACAACTTTTTTTGCTAACGGATGCTAGCAGCCGATATAAGTGGTGTCCTTTGAAAGGCAAGGCCACATGTCCAGGAGAACTTGATATTCAGAGCATGTGCCACGTAATGAACAGGGTGTTCTCCAGGTCAAGGTAGGGGAACCCCCTGGTAAACACTGCTGCATTGTACAACGTGGTATGAGTACCAGGACCTTTAAAGAAGCTTTGGAGACAATGCTTTGGAAAATCTTGACCGATTTCCACGTGCCTCAAACGTCCGCACCGGAGCGGGCGTGAAACCAGGACCACAACTACCGCGCCCACCGTCATCGTGGCAAAGTCAAAACCTCCGGGCTTTGAACGAAGTCTGTTTCTTCTGCCAGCTGAGCCCATGCTGATGCTCGTGCCTTTGGCTGGTTGGCTGGGAGGTTGACCTAAAGCTCCAGGGGTTGCTGTTCAGCGAAACAAGGGCATAAGAATGTTGGGGTTGGCCTGGGAAGTCTGGCATGACCCATGGCTCAAGGTTTGCATGGTCAAGTAGGATGTGTGAAGCCCGGGTGCACAGAGATACAAACTAGGCAATTACAGTACTACTAGAATACTACTAGCCTAAGTAGGGGTTTAACTGCTCTATGATTTGATTGGGTTCATCATTTATAATTGGTTGACCAATGGTAAAGTGGTGGTTACGGACTCCATAGTTTGATATACTGTGGTTTGTACCCTAATCACCAACTTGCCATTGATTCCAATGATTATCTTGGGGTGAAATAATCAACCTTATACTGAAATGGGCATGCATGGGTCACACACCGGGCCCTCAAGAATAGAGGGTTGCAGTTGGCCCCTTGGCCAAATAATTTGCGGTGTACTTGCCGGAGGAGGGCAGTTTCCCTGGCCACGAGGCAACGATCCCGGCGGCCTCAAAGACTGGCAAGGAGCCTGCCATCCTCAGTGGAATTTCGGATGCTGCTGCTGAAGATTTTGTGAAAAGCGACTTGCCATCAAGTGGGATGGCGCAACGGTACTGCCCACATGGATGGTTTGATGGTTTAAAGACAATTGAACAAATGATGCCCTTTGGCACCCCAGTTGTCCAAAGACGGCCTATCATGGACCATGGGAATGTATGGGAATGTATGGGAATGTATCATAGCATGGTGAAGTGGGACAGCCCTATTCCAACTTTCCCAACTTTCCCTGCAAGCTGCTGTTGCAGGTTTCCAACCTGAGACCACCTTCATGGTTGGTGCAGCTCAAAGCATGCCTGGTCTTGCCAACACTGTCCAATTGGAGGCGACAAGCCCATGTTCGGCATCGCTGGTGCTGGCGAAACACTTTTGGCCCGAGACTTCCAAGGCGGTGGTGGCGAAATGTGACAACTACGCAGCACCTCGGCGTGAAGATATGTGAAGATTACAACTCGGACGTCGGCTCGTGTGCCGGTAGCCACATGGCCATGGAGCCACCATAGACGCCGCAACCACATTGAACTTTCTTTTTTTGTCCAATGCGCAGCGGTAGGTTCCTGCTGTGGGGGTCTGGATGGAGGTTTTTTCGCCACGGGTTTGGCATTACCGCTCGCCACAAAAGTGTGCCACAAAAGTGTCAAAGCTCACTTTTTGGATCGCTGTCGGTCGCTTTTCACGAAAGCCATGCAGCTGTGCTAGCTGAAGTTGCTCTTGCTTTAGCAAGGAATAGGCAGGGAGCAGGACCATTGGAAACCCTGAAGCTTTCCAGTTAGACCCCCCCACCCCCGGCAGGCCCAGGTTCGATCCCCCCCCTGGTCCCCCCCGAGCCCCCCCGAGAGGAGATTTCCGGCTGGTAGAGGGTCATCATCCTCATGTTCATCTTCATCCTCACCCTCATCACCCTCATCATCCTCATCCCCATCTTCCTCCTCATCATCATCCCCATCATCCGCAGCATCCACATCAACATCAACATCAACATCAACACCAACATCATCATCATCATCATCATCATCATCATCATCATCATCATCATCATCATCACCATCAGCATCATCATCATCATCATCGTCATCGTCATCGTCATCGTCATCGTCATGGTCATCATCATCATCATCATCATCGTCATCATCATCTTCATCATCATCAGCGTCCTCTTCGTCCTCCTCGTTGTTGATCAGCATCCTCATCCCCTGGTCCCGCTGGGCCATTGGTTTCCTGCAGGTATAGGGTCGTCCTCTTCAGTATTTCATCTTCAGGACGTCATGTTCAGTAAACCAACCAACAACTCTATAAAATCATCATCGGAAACTTGCCGGCTTCCAAATGATCATAATTATCTTCCTCCTCCTCCTCCTCCTCGTCGTCATCATCAGCATCATCATCGTCATCGTCATCGCCATCGTCATCATCATCATCATCATCATCATCATCATCATCATCATCATCATCATCATCACCACCCCCATCATTCGCAACATCCACATCATCATCATCATCATCATCATCATCATCATCATCATCATCATCATCATCATCATCATCATCATCATCATCATCGTCAACAACATCCTCATCCTCATCATCATCCCTATCATTGTCATACATATGTTGCATCGTCTCGAACATCTTTATGCAGATTCGGGCTTCCATTTGGCCATTTAGGGGGCGTTTTTTTTTTTGATATGATATTGCGTTTCTTTTGCTTACAACACTTGGCGAGAGACGATTACTGCATTGGGGGGTTTTCGCTTGCTGGACTCAATAGATTTTGCAACCCTACAACAGCCCTGCTCATCATACTCACCATCCTCATTTTCATCTTCATTCTCTTCCTCAGCATCCTCATCATCCCCATCATCTTCATCATCCTCATCATCCTCTTCGTCCTCATTATCGTCGTCACCAACTCATTCCTGTTACCATCACTTTGGTCATCATCAGTTTCCTTCATCGTTCTGGTCAGCAACCTCATCAACATTAAAAAATTGGCGCTGTTTATGACTTGCGGCAACTCCAAAAAAACCACGTAAGACCGTTGCCGCATTCCGACTTCACCTTGCTAATCCCCCTTTATGATTACCACCCTACCCCAGCCCTGCTAGCTTTCGTACCTCCCCCCTGGCCTCAAGTTTTACTTTCACACGGTCGAAGTCTAAATACTGCGCGAAAGTGTATCTATTTGCAGTTCACTAGCACCATGGTGTCGCCACATTCCGAAATGGGAGCGGCATGATTCGGAGAGTCAAAAAGGTGCATGTCCAGGATGGCTGTTCTACAAAGGTGTTTTGCAAGAGTGTTTTCCTTTGGTTTGCATTGGGTTCGTGGGCTCCATCTTGCGTCCTTCGTCAGTTTACCGCTATCATGATGTACTGGTTTCAATGAGCAGATCCCCGATGTCGCCGGTTAGGTGGAACAATCCACAGGGTGGCATGGCCTTCCCTGGCTTCCCTGGCCTTCCCTGGCCTTCCCTGGCCTTCCCTGGCCTTCCCCTTTCATTGGGTTGCTTCCGATACTTTTTTTTGTAACCTCTTGACTCTTAACTCTGAAGCCTCTTCGATCCATGTGCTTGTGTGCTTGGAAGAGATCAGGAGGCATCTGCCCCCCAAGAGTCATGTGGAGTCCTTGAGTTTAAAGTGGTATCCCATATGTCTCCCATGGTGTGCACCCGTCGGGGCACATTGTGATATCGCAGAGTTCGCAGGCTGCTTTGATGGCGGCTCCATTGGCTGCGCAGCAGTCTGTGCCTCTGATCTTGGATGATGGCAGCGATTTGACGTCCATCTTTACCGAGCTGAAGATCACTGATGTCACCTACGTTGGATCAGACGGATGGTCATTTGGCGGCGTGACCGTCTCGACGTTGCACACGGCGGGGGATGTCTTCAACGCCTTGGGCAAACCGGAGTACTTGGCGGTGGTGAACCCTGCAGACCAAAGCATGTCGCCATTCCAGTCCCTGTCACTTGGCGGTTGACGATGCAAATTATATAATGAACATTACCCATGACTGGTGGCATTTTGGTTGACATTTTCTAAAATATTCTTACACACACACATGTATAAATATATTATATAAATATATAATCAGTTTTGGTCATTGATGCATGTGTGTCCTATTTGTCTCAAGTGGGTCTATAGCTTGCCTTGAGCAGCTGGGTTGCTCCGCGCAGGTCTGCACTGGCTCCCATGCTAGCAACACTTCGGAACGGGGCAGTCCTTCCCCTCGAGGGGGACATCTCGGCGGCTGCGGCCAAGGACCAGATTCAACGGCACGTGGCTGCCCATGGAATGCCCAAATTCCTGGCCCTGGTGGGAGGGCCGCAGGCCATCCCCTTGCACTGTGAGACAGGCACACTTTTCTTCGAAGAGAAGTGTCGCGATGCTCCTTACGGTGACTGGATAGCCGATGGTCGTTCAACAGTTTTTGACAGTAATCCATATTTGATTCTTGTTTTTGGGACGGGCTGGGCGCAAGGATGTGCAGAAAGTATCAGAAAGTTGTCATTGTTGACGTGCAAAACGCATGGGGCAGTCGCGGATAGTCGCGGAAGCCTGCGGAAGCTTTTTGCGCATTTTGAGCGCTAAATCTGGAGGCAGATTTTCCATGATTTTCTGATTCGGCACTTCTTTCAGAAAAGCGTTCTGGGTTTGAAATGGTTTGAACAATCAGGTGATTTGGATGAGGACATGTTCATGGATGTGGCCTTGGGTCGTGTGGTGGCCCGAGATTTGAGCTCTGGCAGCTTATTGGTTTCTCGCATTGCCAACTATGAGTATGTCCGTGATCCAGAATCAGAGGGAAAGTACGCCATGGGTCGCTCTGATGATTTATTCATATTTTTTCCAATCTTTCCGTGTTGTTGAGTTTACCTCCCTTGGGATGGCATTGAGTGAGCGATATTGGGAGGTTGAAACCAATGGTGAACTGGTGGTTTTGTGGCCTGGTTTCTGGAATCCCCATGAATCTCATGAATCCAAACCTAAGCCATGCGGCAGATAGCAGATGTTTAATTTCGGGATGATCAGCTACAGCTATATAATATCATTCCAACTGACTCTTGTTCATTTTATGCATATTGAAGCGACCAGGTGGCAAATTAAAATCCTCTGCGGATACGTGGCGTCCAGCCCTGGAGAATGTGGGATTTGCAGCCCCTGAGATTGTGGAATATTTGGACATCCTCAAGCTCAAGAAGCTTCATGTTTCAGCCTTCCTGCACCTTGATCATGCGGGGGCTGGTGGCATGGGGCACTCTTTCAGCTATGCCTCAGAGGTTCTCTTCTCTCCTTCCATCTTCAGCTCAGGCAAGGGTATGCAAGGGCAACGTAATCAGGAAGCAACTGAACCGTCAGCTTGAAAAGCCCATAAAAGCCCAAAGATTCGACCATGATTCAGTTTACCATTTGGTGAACAGAACACACATGGCAAATCATGGCGTAAAATCTCCAGCTGTAGATGATTTGAAGATGATGGATTTCCCCTCCTTGGGCAGATGAAGCAGCGAGATGCTTACCGGCTTACCGACTACCAATGACTTTAGATTTCCACGTCTCTTTTACTCAGGGCAACATCACCGCCCGGCTGATGGTTGCTTATTCGGGATGAAATCAGCAGTTAAGGGATTTAATTGGATTTAATTAAGTGTACCCATTATCCATCAATTAGCAGATGCCGGGCTCCTGTCACTGTCAGGTGGATGTTCAACCGCTGGCTTCGACAAATTGTCAGATCCCAAAGACTCTGTGGTCCTCACTTTGCTCCACTACGGTGCAGTGGGTTTTCTGGGTGGCCCGCGGAATGCTATCACAGGCTCTGGCTTGGTGCACTCGACCTTCTGGAATCAGATTGCATTGAAGAAGACCATGGGAGAAGCCTTCAAAGATGGTTCGCTGACATTGAATGACATTGATTTTTTTAAATCAGATTCCCAGGATGTTTCTTTTTTCTTGGCGTGTTTGGGAAACCCCTCTGGCCAGCAGGCGTGTACATGTCAAGGCCAACACCATGGTGCGTCTGATAGGATAAGTGCATTTTCTGGGTCATGGAACACCAAATTCTAAGAGATCTAAGAGCTTTGGTTATGCAGGAGTTCAGGACCGAACCCTAATATCTTCTGGGTCTCTTGAGGTTGGTGGATGGGATTTCCCTTTAGAAACAGCGCCAGTGTGCAGAGCGTCTCGCGGCCCCAGGTTGGAACAACATTGCCGTAAATTTCCAAGATCAACCAGGTGAAGAGGTGTGGGAAATTGGAGATGATCGCTGTGGCACCTTACGACTTGCAATGTATTGCAATATCACATGATATCACGATAGATCATTAGATCACGTATCGCTGAAGCATTTTTTCTCCGCAGTTGTGGCTCTTCTCCGATTTCAGTATTTTCATGTATTTTCAGTGATGCGATCGGCAGGTGATCGCCAAGTACGTCATGATGAACATCGCCCTCTTCGGGGATCCCGCCTTCCAGCTCTTCATCCCCGGCACGCCGCGGGAGACGCCCGCGGAGGTGAAGTTGGAGAATGGCCTGCTGGTGGCATCCGGACCTGAAAGGTGGACCAAGCATAAGGCGGCACCGGCATGGCAACGGCTAAAAATGGCAAATTCATAGAAAAACAGCATTGAAAAACTGTGAGCAACGAAGACTTGTCACATGGTTGTCCATTGGCTTTGATATTGCTGTATCTTACCTTTCTAAGAGACGTATGTGTACTTATGTGTTGTTGCACAGTCCTAGTGTATATACTACCCTTTTCACCCTCCATACGGTATTGCATTGGCTCAAGAAATAGTGCGTAACCGGGTTACTGTGTTTTGTGGTTGTTGTAGGCCCATAGCCTATTTCTACAGGTTATCAGCCGTATCGCTAAGCGATCGCTGGTTTCCTTTCGTCTCACCTTTTCGCTCTTCCCTCCTTGTTTTCGCTATGGCTACACCCCCTGCGTTGCCTGCCCCGGGCGGGAACGCCACGGCTGCTTTAGCACTGGCGAACACATCACAACCGGAGGAAGTGGTAATCCATTCAGGCGCGGCAACAACTGAAGGTGACATGAGTTACCTGGATGAAGAGTTTGACCCATGCCGTCAAGATCCACGCAGGAACATGCCAGGTGTCTTGGACTCGAACATTGACATCAGTCAGCTCAACACCATCAACTTCAATAGCGTTGATCAGCGTACCGCCAATGTGGCAGTGGTACAACAAGGTCTTGATCCAAACCTGGCAAACCAGCTCATGGCTGCTCAACAGCAGGCATTGCAGAGTGAGGCAAATGTACGTCACTCTGAGGTCATGGAACGTCAACGAATGGAGCTTGTGAGTGAGGCTCGAGATCAACTTGCAAGCGTTGAACAACAAGCAGCCGAAGAAATTTCCAGGAGAAACCTTTTGTTGAATGAGCAGGCCGCCCAGGCGATGAGTGAGCAGAAATCTGCTCAACTGCAGGTCACAGCGCAGGATCATCGCATCAGGGAACTGAGTGCCGAGCTGACTCATGTGGTCAACAATGCAGGTGTCTTGACATCGTCTGCGGAGAAGTCCAATGCTGATCTGCAGGCAGCACGTTCAGAACTTGCCGAGTACCGCACTCAGATTGATGCAATGAATCAACACGCTTTGAACATGCATAAGCTGGCCGAATCTCAGAAGAAGGACTTCGAGGCGGAGATTGAGAAGCTTCGGAAGGAGCAGAGAGAACTCATCCGGAATTTAAAGTCTCAACCTCTGGAGGGAACTCCTGGACTTATGATTCATTATGGTCCCGGAAAACCCATTCCACAATCCTCGAAGACCAAGGGTCCAACCATTGAGGAGTTAGCTTCGGGAAGCAAGAAGCCTCAGCATTCATCAGATGCTGACGATGAGCATTTTCAGGCAGAACCTTCGAAGCCACCGGGATTACCCGGCGGTGGACCTCCAGGAGATGACGATGGTGATGATGACTATGACGACAAGAGAGGTCGCAAGGATAAGAAAGACAAGAAGAAGGACCGCAAGACTAGTCGTGGCAGATCGCGACGACGACGTCGGAGAGATCCTTCATCTTCACCTTCATCATCAACATCCCCTACGACGTCAAGTTCGGATTCTGAGAGTTCCTTTGCACGGAAGGTCAAAAGGGCCTTGGAGCGTTCTAGGACGACTGATACTAAGGCCAAAGAGTCTGATAGGATCCTAGTTCCTAAGTTCCCTCCACCCGAAAATTATAGGAATTGGAGAATCCGAGTAAGGGATGCCATAATTGCTGCTTCTGCTAAACCCGACCTAGCTTTTCAATGGGTAGAAGAAGTGTTCAGGACAGATCAGTCTGTCGATGCCTTGAAGGACTCAGGTAAATTCGTGACCCTGGACGCAAAGCTCATGTCTTCGCTCACCAACATCTGCGAAGGGGACTTTGCACGGCAACTTGACATCTTTAAAGAAGAACAAGCCAAGTCAGGGACACCAGCTAGGGGACGTCAAGCATTGCTCATGATTCATAAACACTTCAGTACAAGTAGAAAGCATGGTGCAGTGTACGACATTGAGGACCTCATGGCTGTTACCTTAGTCAATGATGATCTCAGAGGTTTCATCACCCGATGGGACGCTGTGATCGCTGGAATGACTTCCGAGCCTGACATGATGTGGAAGCAAGCCTACTTTCACAACGCCATCAAGAACTTCAAGCCTCTCTCTCATGATCTGGCTGTGTATGATCGCACACCGGAGGGGGAACCCAACCGCTCTTATGATTTTCTCATGAAAGCTGCGAGGGACTACCTTGAGAGGAGACGTCTGGAGAAGATGCGACAGGCTACCAAGAAGTCCGTTTCAGGCAAAAGAGATGCAACGCCAGCACCCACGAGGCCGCCATCCGCGGGAAAGCCCACTGGCATTTGCTATGGCTTCCAGGCTGGCAAGTGTACCAGGGGAAAGGATTGCCGATACCGACATGAAAAGGCAGACAAAGGAAAAGGCGGAGGTAAGAAAGGCAAGTCCAGGTCCAAGTCAAGGGGCAATGGTCGGTCTTTGTCTCCAGGATCTAGGAACCAGGTATGTAAGTTTTGGAAGGCAGGTAAGTGTCAACGAGGTAATGGCTGTGCTTTCCAACACCCACCAAAGCCTGCAGCTGCATCTACAAAAGATGACAAGCGTGGAAAGAGCCAGAAAAAGAAGAAGAAGAACAAGAAGAAGGGCGATCGCTCCAGATCGTCAAGTCGAGGTTCCAATTCCTCGAGGGGCTCACAGAGTCTCAAGGACAAAGGGGGAAAACCATCTTCCTCTGGCTCAGCTGCAGTTTGCCTGATGCGCGCTCTGATGATGGTCACAGTCGTTAACCCTTCGACCAGCACTCATCGCGTGCCGGAAGGCATCGCCTCTCCGCATTGTTTCAACCAGCATTTTGCCATGCCAATTACACCCAATCGCACTGTTTCATTTGGGGGCAACGATGAAACCTTCGAAGTTCCCATCGAGCAAGATTGTAATTTGTATCCGTGCCAAGCCAAACAACGAACTTTCAATCCAGTTCGCATCACCAAGAACGATCGTACTCGTAAAGATACGATCGAAGCACGAGAAAGTGATGCAATACTTGCAGCACAGATGTTGCAATCAGCTGTCTTTCGGGAGTTGCATGGTAAACTTTGCAAGTGCAACTTTGAGTGTGACAGTGATATCGGCTGTCGCCACTGCATCCGTTCCGATTTGAATGCATTGCCAGGTCATATGCCCTCCCAGCAGCGTAACGCATCCGCTGAAATTGCATGGATCGCTGACACCGGTAGTGCCCAGGACTTAGTTTGCAGCAAGATGATTCCCGATGACATTGTGTATCACTCTCATGAACCCCTTGAATTAATCACTGCAAATGGTTCTCAATCAGCTGACCAACAAGCTTCTGTTCATATTGATTGCATCGACAAAGAAGTTCACCCATATGTTCTTCCCGATACCCCGGCTGTAATATCGGTAGGGATGAGATGTATTCAAGATGGATGGGATTTTGTTTGGAAAAGCTTTAGTCGCCCATATTTCAAGAAGAAAGATGGAACTAAGATCAAACTTGAAGTTAAAGATTTTGTTCCTTATCTACCATCAAGAGATGGCCAGGTACCCGCTGCAGTAGGGATTCCGTTTTCATGGGACTCCGCTGCCGGGAACGGCAAGCCTATCATCTCACCTGTTCGAAGGTCTCGCATGTCCGCTGTCGGCACTGAGTCCGAGGACGAAGTCGAAGAGGTCGAAGAACCTTATGAGGCTTCCATCGCAGATGACGATGAAATCCCTGGACGTGGTGACGATAGTCTCGAGGAGTTCTTCCCTCATGAACTTGCGCCAGGACCTCCAGCAGCCATGACACCTGAGGGTGGTGTGGGTTCGGAAGATGAAGCCGAAGCTCCTGAAGAACCAGTTGACGGTCGACTTCAACTGCCTGAACCTCAACCAATTGATCGCGGTGAAGCTGCACTTCGAGAAGAGGCCAGGACCCTTAGGCACATGATGACACATACCCCAAAGAATCCTTTTTGTGAAACATGCAAATGTGCAAAGATGTACAAACCTACCAAACGTAGCAAAGGGGAATCTCTGACTGTGGAATCCAACAAGTTTGGGGATCACATCACTGGGGACCATCTTGTGACTAGGGATGCCAACGAGCAGTCAATCGATGGTGATAGAGTTGCTATGGTCATGAAAGATGTCGCTACGAATTTTCGTTGGATTTATCCTTCAGCTAGAAGTCATGCCAAGGATTGTGTTTTAGCTTTTAGGCATTTCATTGCACCTGGTGAAGAAGTCGGAGTGTTTTATTCCGATGCAGCGCCATCCATCAAGCTCGCTTGTCGGGAAGTTGGGTGGAGGCAGAACACTAGTGTTGCTTATGTCTCAAAGTCGAACGCAGTCGCCGAGAGGAATCTCAGGTCCGTACTTGAAGGGACTAGAGTAAACCTTGAACAGGCAGGGCTTCACCATTCTTATTGGAGTTATGCTGCACGACACTGGTGTATGGCACGCAACATCCAGGACCACCCTGAAATCTTATCTCCGTGGGAGCTTCGTTTTGGGGAGAAGTTCAAGGGACCCAACATTCCTTTTGGGGCTCGCATTGACTTTTGGACTGGTCCGAAACTTAAACCCAAGAAAGATCTGCGTTTTGACCCAACTTCAAATCCAGGTGTCTTTTTGGGATATGCCATGCAACCAGGTTTCGTTTGGAGAAATGAATTTCTTGTAGCATCATTGAAGGACCTCATGGAAAAGGAATTCAACGAATCAGTTCAAGTTGTACGTGTCAACCAACTCACTGTACCTGATGGACCGTTTGTTTACCCTTTGAAAGGTAGGTATAAGGCCATTAGGGAAGGTTTGTACGAATCTCTTAGCCTTGATGCTCCACCAGATCCGAAGAAGATGGACGCCCAAACAATTGAAGACTTGGTTGCCCCAAGGAAAGCCGTTGAGCCAGGACCGGTGGAGGGCGAAGAGGAATTTGAACAGTTGATGCGTGAAGCTGGACTTGAGTCTGATGACATCGAAGTGATTGACCCCAAGACTGGAAAATCAGAATTTATCTCAAAGGATGACCCTTCATACTACGATGCTAGTGGTTTTATGGGAAGACGATATAAAGGTTCCTCCAAACCAAAGGACATTCCAACATTTCTTTGGCGGGGGGCCTCTAAAGCGGCTAGAGAAAGGGCTAAACGTGAAGCCTTGTTGAAAGAGGCAGCTGAAAAGCATGACGCTGCGGTTGCCAAAGAACATAAGTACAACAGGGTTATAGATTATCTAATTTCAAGAGGAATGAAAAGCATGTTTTCTGATGATTCAGCACGGGTAGGTGCATATGACACTTTCTATGGGTACGGTACGGTGGGTACAGTGGGTACGGTACGGTGGGTACAGTGGGTACGGCACAGAGCTCATGTGCTTTCATTTTTCCAATGCACTTGTGGCAAGACCCGTTGGACAGAAGGAGATTAACAATACTCCGGCTGCCCAGGCTGCACTCGATAAGGAATGGAATAACCTTACTAGTAAGGGTGCATGGGACTATTCCACTGTTAGGGAATGGGATGATGTTTCAAGGGAAGCCATCAAGAACAAGACCAAAGTTCATGTAGGCAAGATCTTCGAGATTTGTGTCGAGAAGGGAAGCGAGCTACCGCAGGGTGACCCCATGCGCAAGTTTAAGGGTCGCACCGTTTTCCAAGGGAACAACGTCAAGGACGAGGCGGCTGATGTTGCCTTGTTCGCGGAGCTCGGAAGTTCACCGGCCAACATGGAGGCAGGGAAAGCATTGGATGCTTATGGCTCCATGCCGGGGAACCGGACATCACAAGGTGATGGTAAGCAAGCGTACACCCAAGCGTTGATGCAAGGAATTTTAACTTGAATAAGATTACCAAGAAACCGTTGGCCGAAGGAATGGATTGGTGTGTTTAAAGACCCGGTTGTTCTTCTTATTTTGGCACTGTATGGTCACCCTGATTCGGGGGGTCTATGGCAACGTCATTGTGAGAAAGCACTTTATGCAGTCGGATTTCACCCACTCTACCCTGAATGTTGGCCTTCAATGTTTTGGCATCCGAAATTGAAATTGTTGCTTGGAGTATATGTTGATGACTTCAAGATGTCAGGACCTTCCAAAAACATTGACGAAGGGTGGAAGTTGATTTCTTCTCAAATCGACATGGACACTCCTGAAGATGCCGGCAGATATCTTGGATGCGAACATGTATTCAGACAGAATGTCAAGCTTGATGTAAGTGCTCATCCTTTTGCTCATGTCTTCGATGCTAGCATCCCAGATCCTTCTAGTAAGCCAGCCAGTCCGGCCCGCCGAACAAAGGACTACTGGGAGCACATGCCAGAGCTTGGAGTCTGTGTTCATCATCACCTGCAACCTCGCAAGAAGTTCCAGGACAAGCCGAAGGACGATGCATCCTTCCGGGCGGGAACGCACCGGCTAACCGTGTGTGAACCTTGTCGAACCCAAGATGAACCCAAAGAATATGTTCATGATATGGAATCTCAAAACCCAACTGGACTTCCATTTTGGTGGACGGGATCAACCTACTTCGTGGACAAATCTATCAAAGAACCCTCAAAAGTTTTGGCAGCAGCTAAGAAGATAAGAGATAAATCGGGAGCAAAGAAAGCGGCTAGGGCACAAGGATTTACTTTTCTTGATGAACTTGAGCAACATAAATCCAAGTGCATGACAAAGAATGTCAACACGGTCGAGTATGACATGCGACAATTTTTACAACAATGTCTTGACCGCTACGTTGAACTTGCAGGACCAAATGTGAAGTTCAAGAAAGTTTCAACTCCTTTCCCAGATGACAAAATTGCACGTCCCATCATGGACGAAGCAGAAGCTCGGGGGGAACTCCAGCCCATAGCATCACGTGTGTTGATGAAAGTGTTGTTCGCAGCACGAATGGCTAGGTTTGATCTTCTCCGTGCTACTCAGGGTTTAGCAAGTAGGGTTACAAAATGGTCACCTGATTGCGACAAAAGTCTTCATCGATTAATGTGTTACATACACACAACCCTTGATCGTACAATGGTTGGTTTCGTTGGGGATCCACCTGAGGCCTGCAAAACATGGTTGTTTGCAGATTCAGATCATGCTGGGGAACATGACAATCGATCTACAAGCGGTTGCCTCCTTGCTTTGGTAGGACCAAACACGGTTAGCTAGAGACATGCTACCAAAACAAGCGGAGCGCTCACGACTCCTATTTTTGTCTGTGACGAGTGGTGCAGTCTCTGTACAAACCACTCACCCAGAGAGACTTGCCAGCCGACATTCTGTCAGCGGCATATCCCCCCGGGTGGGTGGGAGGGCCAACAATCAAAATGGGCAAAGACTTGAGCCCAAAAATGACAGTAGCAAAACACGCTAACCCTCCGTTCTAGTGAACATCCAAGTTAGCTAGAGACATGCTACCAAAACAAGCGGAGCGCTCACGACTCCTATTTTTGTCTGTGACGAGTGGTGCAGTCTCTGTACAAACCACTCACCCAGAGAGACTTGCCAGCCGACATTCTGTCAGCGGCATATCCCCCCGAAATAGGCATGGGCATCCGCCAAATAAAAATCTACAATGGACATGCAAAAGAAAACCCACATGGTATCGACCGTGAAACAAAGAATCAAGGCTGCCTCAGACATTCCCCGTCTCTCAGTAGGCAACCTGTACGTTGAAGCCTCCATGGAACACGGATGAATGCAGAATTGCCACGGCAAAGTCTCACTGGTTCCACTGTCGATCCTGATGGTTTCCATAGTCATAGCTGGACCAGCCATCTTGGTTGCTGCCTCGTTGCCCATCTCTGGTCCAGTTGCCCCAGTCGTCATCGTCTGCGGCATTTGCATCTCTCCGTTGTGTGACATCTGGTTGATGCCGTTGCCACTCACTGCTGCGTCTCGCTTGCCAGTCGTGCCATTGACTTCCTGCTTCCCAGTTGGCCGTGCTTTCAGCTTCAGCCTGGTTGGATGCAGCAGCTGGAGCAGCTGACTGGCGAGGTGATGGAGTGCTGCGTGATCTATCGGATCGATAGTTGGCCTTTGTAGCTTTTCGGCGGGCCCGCTCCTTGTTCTTCTCTTCGAGGAAACCCGGCTTCAGGACTTGCTTGGAATACCCATGTGACCAGGATTTCGGGAAATCCTCAAAGGAGGCACCCTCCATTTCAGCCAAGGCTCGCTGATGTCGGGCGGCCCGTTGCCGGCCCTTTTGGCGTTGTTTGGCCTCCGCGTAGGTGAAGCCATCCTTGAGATCCTTCTCGAATTTGCCTGGGTGCATTTCGGGCAGTGGACGAGTGCTGAACTCAAAGTTGAGCTCCTCCAGTTTGCTCTTGCACCGCTTCCATGCTTGGGAGCGAAGCGTCTTCCTCATCCCTGGGGGTGCTCGCAGGAAAGCTTCCACTTTCGTCTTGGTCTTCTCGAGCAGCTCCTCATCTTCTGCCTTCTCCTCAGGGGTTCGATCATCGTCATCACCATAGTCGACTTCAGACTCGTCAAACCCAAAGTGGTTCACCTCAGTGGGCGGAGCGCCCTCAGAAGATGATGCTGTTGCGCCTGAACCGAGTCCCATAGCTCTTGCCGGCATGGCATAGTTGGCTGCTGGCAGTGGCGGAGGGGGCTTCTTTGGTGCTGGTGTCTTCTGCATCAGCACTGGAGGAACTGGTTTGGGGGCTAGGGCTTTCGGCGGCTCCTTTGGCTCTGTTCTGGATGAGCTGGCTTTGGAAGTGGCGGCGGAGCCACCTTTGGGGGAGCCGAAAGCATGGGAGGCTTAGGAGGTGGTGGCTTCTTGAATTCGACACCTTTCGTCCCTGCCATTAGCCATGCTTTTGCGCTGGGATGCATTTTTAGAAGCCCCGGATGGTCTCCCAAACATGCCTCCCGGACCTCTTTTGGGACAGAAGTCATAGGTGGAGCACCTTCAATCAGCATCTTGGCCCGTCCTCTGTTCACGAAATCCATGAACTGGAGCAGTCCTTGCATCACGGCTTGATCGAAGGTTTGGAAGACTTGCTCAGACCCGGTCCCCTCCTCAGGGAGCTCTTCCCATGCCGGCTCGTCCCAATCTTCTTCATCGAATTGGTGGTCTTGGAGGGTGTCCATGTCATCGTCTTCAGCTTCCACCTCAACATACACATAGTCATCCTCGTTGTCTGGGACGGTGCTCTCCGGTGGAAGGTCATCTTCGACCCAAGGCTCAGACCCGGGCTCCAACCAGCTCGAAGGGGCCCTATATCTGGATGACGTCTCTGACCACCAAGACTCAGACGGAGCGTCTGATCGTTTCACCCCTGCATCTGCCAGTGCGATGCGAGGAACTCGCAAATCGTCCACCATGCCCCCTCCAGTATATGGTTGGGTCGCCCTGGGGAAATGCTTGGCCGGTGTTGGCGGTGCTCCCTTTGGAATAGCTTGCGTGGGTGCCATTTTTTGCATTGGTGGGGTGGTAGGTCCTCTGGGCCTCCCATCATCATTTCTTGGTGGCGGTGCTTTCCTTGGCTTCGCACTTGAGCTCGGAGTAGGCGGATTCGCGGGCGGTGGAGGTTTCCTTGGCTTTTGCGCGGTCCCTGCTGGAGCAGGAGGGGCTTTGGCTGGGGGCGGTCCTCCTTGCGCTCCTCCTCCAGGATATCCCTGTGAAGGGGGGGGCGGTTTACGAGGCACCTCCCGGCCTGCTCCTCCCGAGCTGCTGGCTCCTGCGCCAGCAGGAGTGGAGGACCGATCAAAACTTAATCTGGCTTGTTGGAATGATGAAGCTTGCTTGGCATAGACACCAGCTGGAAAAACTGGGGAACGGCCTCGCCCATGCTTTGCAGCAATTTGCTCTTGTCTCCACCTCATGTATTGAGTGGCCATCAGTGGATCCAAGAGGATCTCTCGGACCATTCCCAACATCTTAAACTCCTCTCCTTTGGCTTTCTGGACATCTTCCCCAGCAGTTGCAAAGCGGTCTGGATGAGTCTCACGGGACCTGCGACGATATGCGGTGAGCACCTGAGCTGGAGTCGCACCGGGTGGAACACCCAGGAATTGATAAAGATCTAGTCCTGGGTGAGCTGCTAGAAAGAGGTTCGCTGCATTGGCTCGATCTGGAGCTGCTGGCTTTCGTCCCCCATCGGCACTTTCATCAGTAGCATCCATAGCACCAGCCTTCACTGCAAACGATACCTTACGATCTGGTGCCCACGAAAATGCACGATTGGTGTTTGAGCCTCGAGGAGCTCTGGATGTTCGCTTCGTGGCAACTGGGCTGCTAAAAGGGTTTGATCCTCCATGACTGTTACGGAATAACTCATCTTGAGGGACCCCCAATAAACCAGGATAGGACTCTTGGGGTTCAGTTGGAACAACCGCTGGATGCCTACGGACCCCGGGGTCTTTTTGGCTGGGGAGTGTAATGAGGCTGGTACCCAACATCCCTTCTGAAATCCCTTTCTGAGCGGTATGATCTTCATAAAGGTAAGCATGAACAGCATCGGATGACCAACCACCGTACCTCTTAAGCCTTTCTAAGTCCCCAGTACTTGCGAAAAATGCAGTGGCTCCCCCCTTACGTAGTGAGTGTGAACCAGCGAGTTCGCCAGGAAACCCGGCGGCCAATGCAGCTATCTTGATGAAATGGGTGATGCCCTCTCTGTCAAGCCCCGTCCTGTCTTCATAGCGGAACAAAGGCGCCTCGTCTTCAGGGCTGCGCCACCGATGGGGCTGTAGGACCTGTAGCGCGGCTAAGGCTTCAACAGGGCAGAGATCTCCACCGGAGCGGTGGTGTGACCGTGTTTGGCCCCTACCATACTGATCGGTTTTTGAAGATCTAATCTGCACTACGACTTCATCGGCCTTGGCGCCTATGGTAGGCTGCCCATGCGAAAAGAAAGCAACATCAGCTGGGCGGAGCGCCCTATTCATGGGGTCTTCTCCATTGATACTGGGCAAGAGTTCACTGGCCCGCATCATGAAAAACCAACCTGTAAGAAGGGCTCCTTTGATCATGGTTTGATCGACAACTGATAAACCGCTACTTTTCAAGTGCTGGACCAACCATCGCAACATGTTGGGGGTAACAGGGAGCTTTCGCTTTGGGGCGCCTTCCCAACGTTGTAGACCCGCAACCGCTGCCCACAACCGAGGTCGCCCGACCAGTGGATCAGGGTATCCTGCCGCAACATGTGCATAACGAATGGCTGACAACCTTTGTCTGACCCCACCTATGGACCTTCCCATGACTTGATGTAGAAATACTACAAACCGAATCAACCTCTGCTCGTCTTCAGTCCGAGCGGAGCGCTCTTCTCCGTCAAGGAACGGGTGAGTGCCCGAGCTGGCATTGTACAACGCCCATTGCTTCCAGCCTGATGCATAGACCCTGCGAGTTGAATCAGCCAGTTTGGCCAAGACAGCTTCCATGGCTACCTGGTCAAGCTCTGCTGTGCTCCCTCCTCGGGGGCGGGGGGTCCCAGTAGTCCCGCCTCTTTTGGATGCGGGCTGGACCAGCCTCTCCACTTCACTGAGTGCTGGCTTCACGGTGGTGCGTTTGCCTCCGCCTGCTTTCGCCTGGGTTGTCGCTCCCACGAACTCATGAGTGGGTGCCACTGCCACACGTGGCTCTTTCCACGAAGTAAGGAAAAGCTCGGAAGAGGGAGCCTTCGGGTTCCTCCCCCACGCTCGCAGCCAGACCTCTAGTTGCTCGTGGGCTTGGATCTCATCGGGGTCCAGGACTCCTGCCTTCCCATCGGTTCCAGTCAGAGCCTGCATGAGACTCATAGCCACTTGCCAGCCTGGCTCCCGGACTGCAGCTGCTATCATGCGATCCTTTCTCTTCGAGTCGGCGGAACGCCAATCCTCTGCGAGGCCCCCTTGCATTTCCCACACCTCTTCTGGGAGGAGAGGACGGACCAAACCCGTCCCATCTTCCAACAGGGTGCCTCCTGGGATCTTGAGACGCTCACTTGTGAGCCTAGGTCCGCAAGCTGGGCCCCGTGTGCTATGGACCAGGTGCCTGCTGCCGGCGCGCACGTCAACCAAGTGGCCGACTGGTTTTGGAAGCCACTTGTCACCGGTGGTGATGAGGTTTGGTTCTCTCGTAAAAAGGTAGTCGGGCGGGCATAATCCCTTACCTGACTCCTCTGCGGATCGCAGAGGTAACATCTGACACTCGTTGACTTGTGCAACTCGCCATGCTTGAACTCTCTCCTTTTCGTCGGCCGTTCCTCCAAAAAGCCAAAGTCTTCTGGCCCTGGCAAAGAAGCTGCCGTGGTGTGAAGTCTGATAGTCGACCACTTGTGCCTGACCCCATTGAACCTGAAGCTGCATCAGGCGATTTCCGCTGGTTTCAGAGAGCTCCCTGGGCTGGTCAACGATAAGTCGTCCTCTCCAATCAGTTCTGGCGAGGGTTTTTAGAAGGATGTCTGCCTCCCGCCCTTTTGGGTCTTGAGTGAGAACACAGACGATCCAGTCAGCTTGCGCCTGGCTTGCGATCGATCCTCCGCCCTTGGCCCACCCCAGCTCGAACGTCAGTAGTTCCGACCCTAGCCGGATTTGGTGGAGTCCCCCTTTGAATGGCTTTGGCTCGATCTTGGCGGGGAAGGCATGCACGGTTTGCTGTTCGTTGGCCAGCTGAATGGCTAAAGCTGCACTCGGGCCCTTCTCCCCTGGTAGCTTCAACGTGGGGCGCATGGCTTCTCGCAGGAGTCCTTCCCAGTCCTCATTGAGCTCGAGGCGGGTCCAGCCACTGCTTTCCATTTCCGCATGGACCTTGTCTTCATCCTCCCTTGTCAGCCAGTCGTTGAGAGTATTGTGGTAGGGACGGACGTACGCTCCATCGACAGTGAAGCTATTCTCCGCTTCGAGCCGCTGGAGCAGCAGCAAGAGCGCCCTCACGTATCTGTTTGAAGCGCGCCTGGTACGTAACCTTGCTTTGACATTCATGTTGTCAGTCACATAAAGGATCAGTTGCCCCTGCCAGGTTTCCTCCCGCGCCGCTGCCAGGACAATGAACGTCAGAAGCTCCATCACTCCGATGATCTCCAAGTGATCTCCGCCCCCTACGACTTCGCTCACGGCCCTGACGTATCTGCTGCTGTCCGCCATGTGGTAGCATCTATCCTTCCAATCAGTGCTTCCGAGCCTGGTTAGCGTGGCATCTCCTCCAACGAATCGGGCCGA